GCTTTCTCTCTGTCTCTCTGTCAAATAAAAAAGTCCTTAAAAAAAAAAAAATTAAAACTGATGAATCGGTCATAGTGCCTCTGACAAGATTAACAGATATTTTTTCTGGAACAGTAAATTAACAACCTAGCTTTTCAAATGTTCCCTTATCTTCTTTTCAGTAATTCTCCTAGAGATTCATCCCAAAAAGCAATGAAATGTAGACAGAGAGGCAGCAGATAGCTAGTATTACAAGCAGCCCAAATACTCAGTGCTAGGGAAGGAATTCCAGAATTACGGTGTATCAGTCCCCACTATCATATACTCCTTTTATATATTTATAGAGTGTTTTTGATGCTAAGTTTAGATACTTAGAGTACATATAATAAATCAATTGTATATATAATTTGTGCTGTTTGTAGAAGAGTCACATTTGTGCTCTTCACTTTCATGGTTAACTGTGTTTGCTCATCAGAGACTAAAAAAGAGCAAGACAGCTTTCATTGTGAGACAACTCGCTGAGCACATAATATTTCACCCCGGTGTGAGCAGGAAATATGAGATGGGCTGCTTTACCCAGTCTGTCATTTTGTATAGCGTAACCCCCACACTAGGCCACATAACTTTATCTGGTGCTTAACCAAACACCAGGATCTGTTACGGTGCTGAGGAGCCCCTTGCTGTGCTGGCCTCACTGGAAGACATCATGTCAGTCTTTGGTGTGGTACCAGCTGCTGAAGACATTTTCAAGAAAAATTCTGAGTCATTACAATTTCAAATTGTAGGGTGAGCTTAAGACCTAGTTCTCATATACAAGGTAGCCTTGCTTAATGTATTTAAAAATGGTAACGAAAGGGACAAGAATCAGAAAAAAACAGACATGTATGTCAGATATGAACAGTTGTGAAGGACTTTTCCACTTCCCTGTTCTTTTTTTTTCCACTCCAGTAATATTTTTTTCTTTTATTAATTTTTTAAAATTAATATTTAAAATTAACATATAATGTATTATAAGCCCCAGGTCTGTGAATCATCCATCAGGCTTACACACTCACGATAGCACATACCCTCCCCAATGTCCATAACCCAACCACCCTTTCCATACCCCCCTCCCCCCTACAACCCGCAGTTTGTGAGATTGAGAGTCTCTTATGGTTTGTCTCCCTCCTGATCCCATCTTGTTTCATTTTTTCCTTTCCTACTCCCCAGACCCCCCACTTTGCCTCTCAAATTCCTCATATCAGGGAGATCATATGATAATTGTCTTTCTCCTATTGACTTATTTCACTCAGCATAATACCTTCTAGTTCCATCCACGTCATTGCAAATGGCAAGATTTCATTTCTTTGATGGCTGCATAATATTCCATTGTAGATATATACCACATCTTCTTTATCCATTCATCTGTTGATGAACATCTAGGTTCTTTCCATAGTTTGGCTGTTGTGGACATTGTTGCTGTAAACATTTGGGTGCGTGTGCCCCTTCAGATCACATTTGTATCTTTAGGTTAAATACCCAGTAGTGTGATTGCTGGGTCATAGGGTAGCTCTATTTTCAAGTTTTTGAGAAACCTCCATGCTTTTTCCAGAGTGATTGCATCAGTTTGCATTCCCACCAAGAGTGTAGGAGGGTTCCCCTTTCTCCACCTCTTGGCCAGCATCTGTCATTTCCTGACTGGTTAATTTTCGCCTTTCTGACGGTGTGAGGTAGTATCTCATTGTGGTTTTGATTTGTATTTCTCTGATGCTGAGTGATGTTGAATACTTTTTCATGTGTCTGTTGGCCATCTGGATGTCGTCTTTGCAGAAATGTCTGTTGATATCTTCTGCCCATTTCTTGATTGGATTATTAGTTCTTTGGGTGTTGAGTTTGCTAAGTCCTTTATAGACTTTGGACACTAGCCCTTTATCTGTTGTGTCGTTTGCAAATATCTTCTCCCATTCTGTCAGTTGTCTTTTGGTTTCATGGATTGTTTCCTTTGCTGTGCAAAAACTTTTGATCTTGATGAAGTCCCAGTAGTTCCATTTTTGCCCTTGCTTCCCTTGCCTTTGGCAATGTTCCTAGGAAGAAGTTGCTGCGACTGAGGTTGAAAGGTTGCTGCTTGTGTTCTCAAGGATTTTGATGGATTCCTCTTTCACATTGAGGTCTTTCCCATTTGGAGTCTATTTTTGTATGTGATATAAGGAAATGGTCCAGTTTCATTTTTCTGCATGTGGCTATCTAATTTTCCCAACACCATCTGTTGAAGAGACTGTCTTTTTCCCATTGGACATTCTTTCCTGCTTTATCAAAGATTAGTTGACCATAGAGTTGAGGGTCTATTTCTGGGCTCTCTATTCTGTTCCATTGATCTATGTGTCTGTTTTTGTGCCAGTACCATACTGTCTTGATGACAGCTTTGTAATAGAGCTTGGAGTCTGGAATTGTGATGCCACCAACTCTGGCTTTCTTTTTCAACATTCCTCTCGCTATTCGGGTTTTTTTCTGCTTCCATATAAATTTTAGGATTATTTGTTCCATTTCTTTGAAAAAAATGGATGGGATTTTGATAGGGGTTGTATTAAACGTGTAGATTGCTTTAGGGAGCATAGACATTTTCACAATATTTATTCTTCCAATCCATGAGTTGGAACATTTTTCCATTTCTTTGTGTTTTCCTCAGTTTCTTTCATGAGTACTTTATAGTTTTCTGAGTACAGATTCTTTGTCTCTTTGTTTAGGTTTATTCCTAGGTATCTTACGGTTTTGGGTGCAATTGTAAATGGGATTGACTCCTTAATTTCTCTTTCTTCTGTCTTGCTGTTGGTATATAGAAATGCAACTGATTTCTGTGCATTGATTTTATATCCTGACACTTTACTGAATTCCTTTACAAGTTCTAGCAGATTTGGAGTGGAGTCTTTTGGGTTTTCCACATAAAGTGTCATATCATCTGCAGAGAGTGATAGTTTGATTCCACTCCCTTATTCTTTTCAGAATTTGGCAAATTTGCTTTAGTGAAAATGGATTGCTTTTATAAACAGTTATTTGGGACAACCAAAGCATTTAAAATAGTTTTCACAATTCTTATGTATTCTTTATAAATAATGTACTTCTGTCTAAAATACAGTTTTATTAATCATATTAGTACAAGAATTTTAGCCCCAGGTATTTCCTAGTAATGGCAACTGTTTATTGAGTGCTACTATGTAACAGGCTTATGCAAAGTATTGAACTCAAAGTATCCCTGTAAAATTCATGCACTTTCTTTTCCTTTTAAGGATGGTACTGTTAGTAGTCATCCTTATTGAACATTTAGTGTGAGGTACTCTTCTGATCACTACTTGTTCAACTTAATTAATCTGAGGCTAAGAAACTTTCCCAAGATAACCCCATAAATTAGAACCAGGACTGAGCATGGACATTTTGGCCACAGAGCCCACAGTTCTTCCAGCATGTGGTACGGTTGTGAGGCCCAAGATTGTGAGGCTCCAGATTAGATCTGCATGTACCCAATTCATTGTGTAGTATCTCCTGCTTCCAGTTAAAATCCATGGTCCTCTTAGAAATTTTAAAATAGCTTAATATTTATATCTTGGCTATCAGGAATCATCTAAAGGAAAGTGGTATTAGGAATTATATGAAAAATACTCTCGTTGAACCACTAGAAGTAAAATAGAAACTATGCCTACAACTATTTGGGACACCATGGGGACTAACAATGGGCTATTATTACAAATGGTAAAACAAACTGAGAACATTGTTACTTGTTATTTTTCCTTTGAGAATAGTGATTTATTTGCATTAGTTAGAACAGGCTTGGAAGTGAAAAGTCCTTGGTATATGGTATATATGGGATATATATATATATATGTATATATATATATATATGGCAATGGCATTATTAAGGGCAGAGATTGGATTATGGCTTTTTTTCAACTTTCCTTCAAACCTACAAATAATAAGGGAATGCTGTTGACTAGCTAAACTGTTCATGGTTTTGTGTCAGGGATGCAACACTTAACACTCTCAGCAACTGTAAGTTAGAACAGGACACTTGGGTGGCTCAGTTGTTAAGTGGTGGCCTTTGGCTCAGGTCATGATCTCAGGGTCCTGGGATTGTCTCTCTCATCCGGCTCCCTGCTCTCCCCCTCCCCCTGCCCCCCCCCCCCCCCCCGCCAACTTTGTGTGCGCTTTCTCTCAAATAAATAAATATGACCTTTAAAAGTTAAAACAACAAACTAGGCATGTTTACATTACCAGAGATAACAGAAAAATAGTGCCAAAGTCCATAAGGCATTACCCACAGTATAGCCATCTCTCGGGACCTAAAGCTGTCAAGTGGGGACAGCTGGTTAGACTGTTGTAAAAGTATGGTCCCCATTCCACTTAATTTGATTGCCCATTGCTCTACTGGGCCAGTCACGCAGCATTCCTCACTTTGTCTGGCTAAGACTTGGTTTAATTTTGGATTCATAAAAAGGATTTTTTACATAATTCTCATAAAACAAGTGTATACTAATTAACTCCTTTTAAATAAAACAGATTGACTTTGGATAATAATTACTCAACAGAAATATTTACTCTAAAATATAATATTAGAGATGACTCTCCTCCCCAAGAAGTATTTACTTTAGCTAAATATAAACTTGAAAATTTAAAATGTTTAAAAAAAAAAAAAGGAGAACCTTGTGTGTGTGTGTGTGTGTGTGTGTGTGTGTGTGTGTTTGTAGAAATAAAACATGTCTCTTAAAGAAAAACATAACAGTTGTAGGAAAGGGAATTCATGTCAGAATAACATTTGAGGTCTTTGAATCTTTGAACTCTTAAAATGTAAAACAAATTACTTCACAAGGTTGTGGCAAAGCTCACATAGACAGTGTGTTTATAATGTATAAGACATCTAAGTTGTGAAGGAGGTATATTAGTTACTTTGTAAATTATTTTAAGAGGAATATTTAATATTCCACAAAAAGTTTGAGACTAACTTTGGCAAAATTCAGTTTTCCCGTCTAATTTAAATCCACGTTATTTCTGTGCTTACTGCTTGGAACCCACATTTGTGTTTGCATTCTTAAAGTCAACACCCCTTATGTTAAAACCTATGTTTTCATTGTTACAGGTACAATGAGTACATTCTGAGTCCCAGGACAGTGGGAATTAGCCAACGGACTGCAGACATGCTGTGGAAGCTGCTGCTAAGGTCCCAGCCCTGCAGGCTGTGTTCTTTCAGAAAGATGCCATTGGCTTCAAAATCCAGACCCCCTTTAGCATGCTTCGTCTATACAACTGATCATCAATCAAACCAAGAAAATAAAAGAACAGTGGAAAAGCTCTATAAATTTTCAGTGGATGTCAGGAAAATTCGCAGATTAAAAGGATGGATACTTTTTGAGAAGGAAACCTATGTTGAAGAAATTGCAGACGTTTTACAACAACTAGGTGCCGATGAAGCTGCTATAGCCAGTATTTTGGAACGCTGCCCAGAAGCAATTGTCTGCAGTCCAGCCACTTTTAACACCCAGAGAGCACTCTGGCAGTTGGTTTGCAAAAACGAGCAAGAGTTAGTCAAATTAATAGAACAGTTTCCAGAATCTTTCTTTACCGTTAAAGACCAGGAAACCCAGAGGCTGAACATTCAGTTCTTTCAAGAGTTGGGACTCAAAAATGTGGTCATTAGCAGATTTTTGACAACTGCATCTAATGTTTTTCATAATCCTATTGAGAAAAATAAGCAAATGATAAGTATTCTCCAGGAGAGTTATCTAAATTTGGGTGGCTCTGAGGCCAACATGAAAGTTTGGTTACTCAAATTGTTAAGCCAGAATCCATTTATTTTGCTAAATTCTTCTGCAGCTATTAAGGAAACATTAGAATTTCTCCAGGAGCAAGGTTTTGCCAACTCTGAAATTCTCCAGCTTCTATCCAAACTCAAAGGATTTCTTTTTCAACTTTGCCCAGGAAGTATACAGAACAGCATGTCTTTCTCTAAAGATACTTTTAAATGCACAGATCATGACCTGAAGCAATTAGTTTTGAAATGTCCTGCCATTTTATATTATTCCGTTCCAGTTTTGGAAGAGAGAATTCAGGGATTACTGGAAGAAGGCATTTCCATAGGTCAGATAAAAGAGACACCAATGGTACTTGAATTAACTCCACAGATAGTACAGTACAGGATAAGGAAACTGAATTCTCTAGGCTATAGGATAAAGGATGGATATCTAGGAAATCTAAATGGAACAAAAAAAGAGTTTGAGGCTAACTTTGGCAAGATTCAGGCCAAGAAAGGAAGGCCATTATTTAACCCTGTGGCACCATTAAATGTTGAAGAGTAACTTGCCGACTGCTGTTGCTTTCCAGCATTGTAGAGTGAAGCTAAGTAGCGAAGACTTAAGTGATTCAGGCAGTTTATAGGCACTAGTAATTTGAAGAAACCACTTAGCTTCTGAGTTGTATCTAAGTTACCTTTAAGTATATCATCTCTGACGTATTTTCTATATTTTAAACTATAAGCCGCATTTATTTTAAATAAAGTTGGTAATCTTTACCTCGAACTATTTCAAAAAACTCCTGGACTAGTAAATGGCCCATCAGAGTGATAACTTTATAAGTGAATCATTTCTAAGAAATTGCCAAGTATACTCCCTTAATTCAAAGTATGGATATGTTTTTATTTATTTTTTATTTTATTTTTTATTTATATAGCACATTTCATCTGGGACACAGACCCTCTTCTTCCTCTCCACCGGCTCTGAAACATCATTTTACTGTGGTCTGAAACCTGTAGCTTAGAATTAGCAAACTTCTAATACATTTTTTTTTAGATAAAGCTGATTTCATCTCTTGGTTGGGATAAATGCGTGTCTTTGAGAATGAAGTATTTCTCATTCGAAAAGAAGAGAGCTTACTTGTGTGTTTAGTTTAAAACGGACCATCTCCTCTCATAGAACTTTTATGTGCATCATTACTTTCCCCATTTTATAGATGAGGAAACAAGCTTAGAGAGGCCTGCCAAGTGATAGGGTCGAGATTTACTGTGATCTGACTTCTGTTCAAACCTGTGACTAGAGAAAGGATTGCTTAGGAGTTGGCATTACGAAAAGCCATAACCTGGTGCGCCTGAGGCGCACAGTAGGTTGGGTGTCAACTCGGATTCAGCTCAGGTCCTGATCTCGTGACTCCAGGCTCAGCAGGAAGTCTGCTTGGATATATTCTCCCTCTGCCCTGTCCCCCTCTTGCGCTCTCTTTCTCAAATAAATGTCTTTTTAAAAGAAAAAAACCATACCTTTACCTGACATGACAAAGGAGGACCAACAACAAACTTAGGAATTTTTTGTAAAATTCCTTAAATATGAAGTGATCTAATTTATATACATTTGAACAAAGCAGCTTTTTTAGAAAACTGAAAATCCAGGTCTGGCTCTGAAAGGGGAAATGTGTGATGGTTGGTACCGGTTTTAATAGCATTCCAAATTTCTAAGTCTTGTTCCAACATAAACATTATCCAGATAAAGACTGGCTCACCTCCAGCTGCGGATTTTGAATTTTGTAACAAATACCACCACCAAACAGTTGACCCTAACACTCCCACCATCCGTGTCCTATGTGTGCATGGCCTTTTCTTAAGTAATGAAAACCCAATTAAAAATACACGCCATGTCTTTATTCACTTAGCAAATGCAAGTAACCTTCAGTGTTCAAATCTGTTTGGTTCCTTGGGGTAGTGAACAAGTCTCATGTAGCACCTACTAAATGCCAGGCATGTTGTGCTTTAGAACGCTTAGAGCTGAGAACCACCATTTACTGTTCTACAAATGAGGAGATGCAGGCACAGACAGGGTGTCACTTACCCAAAGTTAAACAGGAATGTTTGTTCAAGAAAAAGAATGGCAGCAACAGTTGGGGCAGGAGGAGTGTCCCCTGTCCACCTAAGGAATGGGATCGCATTCTAAGTGTGATGGGAAACCTTCGGAAAGAGTTTAGTTTGCTTGTTGTCCTGACCTAATTATCAGTGGTGTGCTTATCTTCCACTCTCAGAAATGTCCTAGTTTGGAACATTTATATGGTTACCTTAGTTTTGTTTTACATTGAGATGCCTACTAGCTGAGCAGAGATGTCAAACGGGTAAATGGCAAAGTCTGGAACCGTGAGGTCAGAACTAGAGATACTCAGGGATCATCTATGTATCTATGATGGTATTTAAAGCTAAGACTGTAAATGAGATTGCCCAGAAATAAATTATAGATTTGTAGTAGTGACTGGCCATGCCTGGAAGGATTTGGCCAAAAGAGGTCTACCGAGGAAAGAGGGCATGGCCAATAATATTGAATGCCATAGAGTGGTCAGCTAAGATACAGATAAGTGACCAATGGATTTGGCCAAAAAGAAATCACTGGTTGGCCCTATCAGGAGTGACTGGTGCAATGAGAAAGGTAAGAAGGCACCTGGAGGGGGGTGCAGGAAATGACTAAGGCAGAGACTATAAAGTTTTTCAAAAATGCTGCAAAGGGAAGCAGGAAAATGAAGGTTGTAGGATTAGGCATACTTTTTCTTTAAAGAAAGTAGCCTCTGCCTTGGGCTCCGGTCATGATCTCAGGGTCCTGGGATCAAGCCCCGCATCAGGCTCTCTGCTCAGCGGGGAGCCTGCTTCTACCTCTCTCTCTGCCTGCCTCTCTGCCTACTTGTGATTTCTCTGTCAAATAAATAAATAAAATCTTAAAAAAAAAAATACCAGAAGATGTTTATATGCTCATGGATATGACCCAGGAGAGAGATGGAAAAACTGCAGGATGACTCCTGCAGGAAGTGAAAGTGGGACTGACTTTTAGGATCAGAACAGGGATTGTAGTCCTGGGGATGGATGCGGGCACGTGATGGAATAAGTGGTGTGAGAGGAGAGTTGCTGTCAGGTTGCCTCTTTTGACAAAGGGCAGTGGAATGGGAGGGAGTACTGCAGGAGGGCTGGAAAGAAAAGGAATGAAATGGTTGTTTTGAGGAGTAAGAAAACGAACATAACAAGAGGGTATATAAGAAAGTATGGCAGGGTTCAGTGGCCATTAATTTGTAAAAAGCCTATAGTCAGTACATCAGCAAACTTGTGCCAGGTCCAGGCGTGGAAAACCAGAGGCATTTATGGTTATAGAAATACATTTGTAGCTTAATGCTCACCTGACCTAAATTTTTAGAAAATATACACATTCATGACCAAACATGTAACCTACTGACTTTATTTTTCCTTAGACCAAATCCTGTTCCATTAGTTTTTAGCCCTTGAACCTTTCTTTTTCCCTAATTTGAAACTTCAAAGTCAACAATATAGCAAGGAGAGACATCCTTAACATAAAACACTAGAGTCAAATTTTATTTCCTCTGTAAAGAAAAGGCTCTAATAACAAAATTATTTCCCTTCAACAGTTCATAATTACACTAAATTCATTTCAATGACAAACGTAATGAGCTGACAAACTAAGTGGGATTACCTGTAAGACTCCCGGAGAGCTCTGGTGAGCCTGGTAAATGAAGCGTACAGTCAGCACTGACTGCCAACAGCAGAATGAAGTGCTAGTTACTGAGTAGCCCCGCTTCTGTTTCTGGGTATTAACTGCAGAAGGGATTGACTTGAATTCAAAAGTGATCATGGGAAAATTGCTAACACTGAAAGCCTGTTTCGTATTTGTAAAATGAGATACTTCTGCGGTACTGATTAAATCAGATGATGTATGCACAGCACCTGGCAGGTAAGTAGATACCTAGTATGTATCAATTTTCTACGTTCCTCCAACTCGTTCCCATCTCTCTGAATCACTTCTGTCCAGTGAGGGGTGCAAGGTGGTTCCATAGTTACTTAGGACAGGGTAAAATGCTCCCTACTTCTACATCAGATCCCAAAATTGTTAACAAGAATCAGCTGTGGAGGATACTGAACTACAGGCCTGGGCCCCACCTGCAGAGATTCAGAAAGTTGGGATAAAACCTAAAAAATCTGCATTTTTAATCTTCATCAGAGTTGACTAAAATGTATTTGCATTTCACTGTCTTGGTATCAAAATACATATTCAAAGATGTTTTGTCATGTTTGTGCATTAGTATCAAAAAAACTGACTACAGTACTTTCTGAACTATGTAACTAAAAATTTTAATACTGTCCTGTTTTTCCTTTAAATTCCCTTTATTTCCTTAGATCTTTATGAAACATTTCATCTTTTGCAGATCATAGTGTTTATTGACGGATTTATGTATTCTTTTCCCATTCCTTTATACAAAAAAAATTTTTATTCAATCACCAATCATCTTCATCTGACATTTCACTAAGTACAGGATTCATAATGCAACATTATTAGATCAGGTATTCAAGTGGGTCACACAAGTTCATCCTCATTGTGCCAAATAACCACTCAAAAGATACACTGAATAACAGATGCCTCCAAGTGTATGTATCAACCTTAGTTTCTTGAAGTGAACCAGTACTGTTTCACAGGTCAAACTGCCCGTCTATGCAAACACACTGGAGAATACTCAAGTGTACAACTGTATGTGTCCTCAAATGGCAAGTTCACTGCAACAAGAACCTCTGTAACTTAACCGTTCCTTTGTACACTTCTCTGCCATCCTTGCAAAAGCCTCTCCTGAATAAAGTTATAGTTCAGAGCTAAAATGTACCAGGAGGCTTTTCTGTGGCAGAAATCACAACCATTTTTCCTCAAGCAATTTTAAAGACAAGGTTAAAAATAAATATGCAAGCACACAGTAAACTAAAGTCTGTGTTTAGAAATTCAGGTACAAAGCACAGCAGAACCTATGACTATAGAAGATAAATTAGAAATATAAACTAGCAATGAAGCAATCATTTCTTTCAAATAGCAGGAAACAAGTTCTCCAATACCATTATTTAGATCACTATTTAGTGTTCATCAATTAACTCTGGAGTCACTTTTAAAAATCCCTTTTGCTGATTATGACATTTGACCAGATACACCACCCAAAATACCTTAAGTCATAGAGCATGAAATAAATGACCATTTACGATGAACTCAACTTTTCAGTTCTGTATAAAATGATAGGTTCAAGAACCTTCGCAGGTTTGCTTAAGATCCCTCCTGGTGTTTATGAAAGCTTTTAAAAAAGTTATATTCTTATCCATTTGTTGTTCCACATTATTAATGTAAAGCTCTTAGTGGTTCAGAAAGACATTTAAGCCTTGGATGCTAGAGTGATCTGTTTTACGTTCTCAAGGATGTATTCTGACTTACTCCAGAGCATCACCTCCTTTGCTACACAAACACACGCTTCTGCAAAATGGAGGCAAATTTCCAGACTTAAGTATAAAGAAAACTAAGATTTTTCAGACTTGGATTATAACCCTCAGTTAAGAGTTATACCAAATATATGTGCCACTTTTAAAAATTTTTCATGAAACGGAATATGTAAAAAATGATGAATTCCAGCTAAGTCATATTCCTTGAGAATGAATGAGACATGATGAGACATGTTAAGAAGACATGACGCACTTTATCATCCACAATCAAAAACTTCAATTCCCTGCCTGAAGTT